GTTGGCTGCGCCGCCCCAGGGCCGGACCCCAACATTTTTCGAGTCACAGTGGCTTGCGCCACTGTGGTGCTGGAGGCCCTCCCACTGATGTTTCAAATCCCAGCAGGGTCACCCAGGGTGGATTTACAGTAAAATCAGTGAAAACTCCAACACCTTCCAAGAAAAGGATAGAGAAGTGGTCAGTCTGTACCCTGTCAAAGGTGGAAAACTTGTGAGACCTGGAAAAACAGGGCAGACCCAGCTCTTACAGGTGTCATTGACCGGACTCCCTGCTGGCAGGGTGCTCAGGCTGTTCCCACTGATCTGCTGTGTGATCTTGGGTTAACCCCTGCCCCTCTCTGAGCCTCGGTTTGTCCAACAGACTCAACCAGTGATGTTCAAAATGTGCCTTGGAGATTTTCCAAGGTCACCTTCCTGTTCTTGCTTCATTTCATCCTGAGCACAGAACAGCTTCCCCTTTGCCCAGTTAAGATCTTGTTTTTAGCAAAATTTCACAGCCAGAAAAATCAAACACATGGAAACCTCTCAATGGGTGTAACTGATTGAGGATTTCTTGTTTTTCTGGGGCTGGTGATGGTCAGGGCCTGGGGCTGGTACTGTCCCCTGTCCAGTGCTGGTCTACCCAGGACCAAAGGCCTTCACCTGGGAATATCAGAGGGAAGAGGGGAAAGGCAACGAAGGGGGTGTTCCAAGACGGGACTGCTGGCCTTGACCCGAGTCTTCCCCTTGATCCCTGGCCTTGACTGAGCCCCCAGCTCCTCCTCCCGTCCCACTGCCCCGGCCCCCTTGCAGCTGCCGTTCCCAGGCTCTGCTGTCAGCCTGAGGCCCTTCTCTGTCCAGTTATCCTTGGGTAAAACAGGAGCGATCGCGGGGTGACAGGCAAGTTTCCTGCCCAGTTGTCAGGACCTTGGACAGGTCCCCTAGTGGCTCAGTGCCTCAGTTTTGTCCAGCACTGTGAACCGGTTTGTTCCGGTTATCATCTCCTGCTGAGAATTTGCATTTCCACCCTCATCAGGACCTGCATTTTAACGAGACCCCAGGTGACTCTTAACTGGTTCATTCAGGTTCAAAGCCTAGATTGTGCAGCTTGTCAAACAGGGAAAACACCACCATGTTCCTGACAGAATTCCTGGAAATGTCCTTTGTACCTACCCATGAGAGTGCCTAGAACCAGCCCAGCCAGCCGCTGTCCGGTGCATTTTGACTCACGGGGCCCCGTGTGGGTCAGAGGAGAACCGTGTGCACTGTGGAGTTTCTGACGGTTGATTTTGCAGAAGTAGATTGCCAGGCCTTGCTTCTGAGATGCCCCTGGGTGTACTCGAACCCCCAACCTTTTGGGTAGCAGTCCAGGCATTAACCACGTGCACCGCTCAGGACTCCCTGCTACGTGAGCAACTAGATGCTGGTCCTCAGGTCGTTTCTGTCACTACGTTTCACAGTAGAACTGTGCTCTGTACGATTTTCCAAGATGGGGACCTTTTGGAACGAGGTTGCCCAACCTTTCTTCCTGCGTGGCTCTGCGTGGACTCACCATCACCTGTCAGCAGCCAAGTGCTTACCCTTTTGCACCTTTAACTCTTAGCAGGTCCCTGGGTGGTGTGGACACTTTGCACTTGGCTATCGTCACAGTCCCCTAGTGCTGCTATGATGAAAATACCATAAGCGAGTGGCTCTAACAAACAAATTATTTTCTCACAGTTTAGGGGAGCTCTGGTGGCATAGTGCCTAAGGCATTTGACTGCTAACCAGAAGGCTGGTGGTTCAAACTCCTTGGAAAGAAGACTGGGCAATCTACTTCTGTAGTGATACTGCCTCAGAAACCCAAGGAGGGGTCGCTATGAGTCGAATTGATTCGACAGACAGCAGTGTCTGATTTTGTTGTTGCTGTTGAGGAACGAGAAGTCTGAGTTCAAGGCACTAGCTCGGGGGAAGGCTTTCTCTGTTGGCTCTGGAGGAAGGTCCTTGTGTCTTTTGAGTTTCTGCTCTTGGGTGGATCTTCACATCACTTGGTGTGTGTCTTCCTTCATCTTTGCTTCTTGCTTGTTTAATCTCTTTTATATCTCAGAAGAGATCGACTCAGGACATGCCCTACAGTAATCCTGCCTCTTTAACGTAACAAAGACAGCCTGTTCCCAAATGGGATCATAACTACAGGCATGTAATACATATTTTTGGGAGACACGGTTCAACCCATCACTGCTACTAATTGCAGAGTGGTTCCCATCCATCCAGCAGTGCTGTGGTAGAAAGGCCTGGCAATCTACTTGTGTAAGGTTGTTATGTTTTTATTAGTTGCCATCAAGGCAGTTCTGACTGATGACAACCCCGAATGTGCAGAGTGGAGCTCTACACGGTTTTCAAGGCAGTGCCCTTTCAGCCGCAGACTGCCAGGAGGCCTGTCTCCCAGGGCGCCCCAGGGTGGGTTCATACCTCCAACCTTGTGGCTTTTGTCAGGTGCTTCACTGTTTGTGGCACCTGGGGATTCCTTGCATAAGATCATAGCCGCTGAAAACCCTATGGAGCCCATTGCTGGTAGGAGTGCAAAATGGTACAGCTGGCTGTGGAAAACAGTGGTGGTTCCTCAGAAAACTATCAGATAGAACCACCACGGGACCCAGCAATTCCACTCCTAGGGACAGACCCCAAAGACTTGAAAGTAGAGACTCAGAGAGTTGGACACCAGTGTTCACTGCAGCACTCTCTGAATAGCCCAACGGTGGAAACGACCTAAATGTCCATCAACAGATGAGCGGACAAACAAACTGTGGTCCATCCATATAATGGGATCCTACTCAGCCAGTAAGAGAAATGCAGTCTTGGTATGTGCTACATAAGGACGAACCTGGAAGACATTATGCTGAGTGAAATAAGTCCATCACCAAGGGGCAAACACTGTATGGCCCCACTTACAGAAAAAGACAGGACAGATGTATAGAGACAAAGTTTATTAGTGGTTACGAGAGGCCGGGAGGAGTCCTGGTGGTGCAGTGGTTAAGCACACAGCTTCTAACCAAGTAGTCAGCAGCTCAAACACACCAGCTGCTTCATAGAAAAAAGGTGAGGCAGTCTGCTCCTGTAAAAGACTGACAGCCTTGGAGACCCTGTGGGGCAGTTCCACTCTGTCCTCTAGGGGCGCTGTGAGTCAGAATGGACTCTACTGGCAGTGGGTGTGGTTTGGGCTTTGCTGCTGTAAAAGACTGACAGCCTCGGAGACCCTGTGGTGCAGTTCCACTCTGTCCTCTAGGGGCGCTGTGAGTC